TTAACCCAACTCCAGTCCTTTTTAACCCAACTCCAGTCCGCTCTAACCCAACTCCAGTCCTTTTTAACCCAACTCCAGTCCGCTCTAAAGAAACTCCAGTCCTTTTTAACCCAACTCCAGTCTATTTTAATTTTTCTTCTCAATCAAATAGGGTCTACCAGACTGTCAGGTGTGAAAACAGCCTTACTTCTCTGTTATCCTCTGATTGTTAGTTCTGTTTAATCTCTTCAGCGCCGGTTCTGAAGACGCCCAGTCCCAGTCTAAAACGGAGCGTGAGTTTTCCTCAGCCTGCAGGTGCGACTGGCTCTGTGCACGTTCCTCCATTGCCTCTTGTCCTCCCTGCTGAGATTTCTAACTATTCCTCCACAGAGAAATTACTTCCCTCCAAATCCTTCATGAAGTCCGGACTCTCACCCAAACTGGACCTGTATGTTGTGATAGAACATCATCTTCTCTCACACTGCATAATTTATGACAAAAATCTGAATTTGTTTTTAAAACCTTCAGCAGGTCGAACAAGTCTGGAGGTATCGAGTTTAAACCGGAGGTGATGAAATCCCAAACCCTTCCGCGCTCCAACGGCGCCCAAACCAAACGGGGCCTGTTTGAGCGAATGAACTCTGACCCCATAAAGTAAATGAACCCAGATCAGATCCTTCAGTCCAGAAGAGGCTTCTGTTGTATAATCTGTTGCACTTTTTACCAAACAGGCCAAAGGACTCCAAGCCCAAACTGAAGCGCTCCCAGAGCTTCGGCATGTCGAGCGCCAGCGGGATAAAGCAGATCCTTCTGGAGTGGTGTCGCTCCAAAACCATCGGCTACAAGGTCCGTCTTCACCAACCCTTGCAGGTTTCCATCAGAGAGACGGATGAACGTCTTCCTGAGACGCTTCCTGTCATTTCTCCTCTAGAACATAGACATCCAGAACTTCTCCTCCAGCTGGAGCGACGGCATGGCCTTCTGCGCACTGGTGCACTCCTTCTTCCCGTTGGAGTTCGACTACAACGCTCTGAATCCGGCGAACCGCAGACAGAACCTGCAGACGGCCTTCACTATAGCGGAGTAAGTCCAACGAAGCTAGAGCTAAAAAAAACTTTGGTGTCTCTATATGGTTCTCACACATGATTGGGTTGGTTGGCTGACTGTTCACCTTTGCAACTACTTCGCTAAACCACGCGAAGGCGCCATGGTGGACGTAGGAAGCGACGGGAATATTAATTTTCAGTCTGTTGGTCTTTCTGACTGCGGTGTTTTAAAGTACTGGGTGTGTTGTTTCCTTTCAGTCGGCGTCAGTCTTCCCTCTCTGTGTTTCTTCTCAGGCAGCAGGCGGACTGTCTGCGGCTGATCGAGGTGGACGACATGCTGGACATGGGGGACAAGCCGGACCCCATGTGTGTGTTCACCTACGTTCAGTCGCTCTACAACCATCTGAAGAAGTTTGAGTAGCTCTGGCTAGTTTCACGCAGAGTGAGTGTGTTCACCAGCTGACTGAGTGTGTGTGTGTGTGTAGAGGGTCCTGAGATCTGAAGATGAATACCGGATGTGAGAGAGGACGTCGCCATCTGCTGGTGGAGCAAAGGATCGTTGCCCATCTGTTGTAGTTGAAATTAGTTGGTTAACTTAATGAACTCTGGTTGGAAGTGTTTCACTGAGGTGTGGAAAGTCAAGGTGGTTGCTATGGTTACCGCCCAGTCTGGAAAAGGGTTGAGAATGAGAAAAGAGGAGTTTTTCTGTTTCCCAATGTATAAACGTTGTTTCCTTCCTTACTTTTTCCTCCTATCCTTCCTTCATTCTAGCTTTCTTCTTTCCTTCTTTCCTTCCTTCCTTCCTTCCTTTGCATGCTTCTTTCCACCATTTCTTCCTTCTATGTTTCCTTTCTTTCTTCCTTCTATCCTTCCTTTTGTCATCTTTCTTTGTGTACTTCACACACTTCCTTCTTTCTTTCTTTTCTTATTGTCTCTTTTCTTCCTGTTTCCTTTCCCTCCTGTCGTTGTGTCCTCTCTTCCTTCCATCTCTCCTACCTTGTGTCCTTCCTTCCTGTTCCCTGCTGTAGAAATATCATCCATAGATTAACAATGAAGTTTCTTTATTTTATGTTTTAGAAAGAAGGTTAAGGATTGGGAACTCTGAAAAAGTCTGGAACTTTTACATGGAAATGTGTAGCTGTCTGGGTTTTAATCTAACTAAAGTCTGTACCTTGAAAAGAAATAAAATAAACAGAAAACACATAAAATCCTAGATATTTTATTTATTTTAGATCGTTTGAGGTATTTTTAGATTCATTTTTCACTGTAGAAACAACAGAAAAGGAAATTAACACTGGTCGGGGTGATGAAAAGAAATTTAAGTAAATGTTTAAATAAACAACCAACAAATGAAGTAAGAAGATGGAGTCAGAGGGAACACATTAAAACTTTTTAAAGAATCTGTTATATATGGAAGCCCATTCCTGCCACAGAAGAAAAAATAAAAGCCAAACAGACCTTCATAATTGTGTCTTAAATGTCAAAATTATGACTATAACAGTCATAATTATGAGAATGAAAGTCATTTTCAACTTTTAAATTAAGAGTTGCAAGTTTTATCATTTATCATAATTATAAGTTTTAAAACTCATATAAAACTGCACAGGTCCTACACATAAAACCAGTAATTCTAACTTTAAACATGTAATTATGAATTTTATCCTTATTATTCACTTATTCTCATAATTATGACTTTTATTCACATAAGTACCTCCTTTAATTGAATTATTTTCCACCTCACAGAAACCTGATAGCCCTCACTAGCATGCCAACATTAGCCTGACAGCTAAAATAATTTAATTTGGTAGCTATGTTTAGTATACATTCTAGTTATACCCCACATGCTACTGACAGCATTTAAGCTAACCATACCATTTAAGCTGTAGTTAGCTAAAAGGCTAACAATTTAAGGTGTTGACGCACATAGAATTGCAGATTGAAAGGAGCGATTTAATTTGAGGGCTGCACAGTGGCGCAGTTGCCTTGCAGCAAGAAGATTCTGGGTTCGATTCCCAGCCTGGGGTCTTTCTGCATGGAGTTTGCATGTTCTCCCTGTGCATGGTGGGTTTTCTCTGGGTTCTCTGGTTTCCTCCCACAGTCCAAAAACATGACTGTCAGGTTAATTGGTTTCTCTAAATTGTCCCTAGGTGTGTGTGCATGGTTGTTTGTCCTGTCTGTCTCTGTGTTACCCTGCGACAGACTGGCGACCTGTCCAGGGTGTACCCCGCCTCTCACCTGGAACGTTGACTGGAGATAGGCACCGGCAACCTTCCCGACCCCACTAAGGGACAAGGGTGTGTAGAAAACTGTTCAAATGCTGGCCTTACAACTAAAATTTGTCCTACAATCAGTAGGTTGCTGATTCAATTCCTGCTCTGGTGCATGGCAGCCTCTCCTCTAGGGCAGCTATGGCTACAGTCTAGTAGCTACCAGTTAACTGTGAATTCTTGTCCTTTTGCTTCTTTTCATGCCATAAGTTGGCTTCCACAGTCAGAAGAATGTTTTATTTATTTATTCATTTAATTTTTTGTCTCACTAAAATGAAACACTTTCTTTATTACAAAAAAGTGTAGTTAATGACTTCCATAGGATTCTAGATTTTTTTTTTTTTTTTAGTGGCCCTAATCCTCTTCCATAGGTTATATTTACAGATAATAGAAACTTTATTATCATTGTCTCCGAAAGTTGGAATATTAGAGTGAAACCACAATGAATTCTGATTTGTGCAACAATTTCTTTTTATTCCGTTAAAGTAGAGCTTTAAAAGTCCCAGCCAATATTTATGCTGAGTTAATGTAAAGTTCGCAGCTGCGGGATTCCCATGTTTTTAGGGGGCGTGAACGCACCGCTTCCCATTGACCTGGCAATCCCTTTCCGGTATATGAGGTCAACTTTTCCCTCGATCCGCCATTTCAGTCCCGGAGACTGCTGTCGCTCGGTAGTTTCTGTGTTTTGATAAGCAGAAACCGGCGGTTCTGTTTGGTTCCGAAGAACTTTAACCGCAGGAAGTCGAGGCTTTGCTGCGTTTGTTTGCCAGCGCCAGCGTCCGGAAACAGAAGTTGTATGAGTTACGGGGAAAACGGGGTTCTGTCCTGAAAGCTCGGACCGGACTCCGCTGCCATGGCCGGTCATTTTGACGCCGAGGACCGGGATAGCTGGTACTGGGGCCGCCTGAGCCGGCAGGAAGCGGTGTCCCTGCTGCAGGGACAGAAGCACGGAGTCTTCCTGGTCCGGGACTCGTCCTCCATCCCCGGAGACTACGTCCTCTCCGTGTCCGAGAACTCCAAAGTTTCCCACTACATTATCAACGACATAAGCAACAGGATGAGACCTGGATCAGGTAAGGCTCGGTTCTTACTCATCCAGGTGTTTTTTACGGCACAGATGTAGTTTTAAGGTGAAGAGTCTGCGAGGGATATGGCAGGCCATTTTACCATATAATCACATTGACATTCCAGATTTCTTAAATTGGTTAATGACTGGACACATGAGTAAATTAAGGAATCTCTAATTATATTTGACTATGCAAATTACAGGTACTGGGGCTGTAATGTAATTTTGACTTTATGAAAGTCAGAATTATATTCTGGCTTTTATAAACAACATATTCAAGACATCCAGAAAGAATTACTATATGAAACGCATTTAAGATATTTACAATTAAATTATGACTAATCATAAAGTATAATCAAGAAATCTTACCTTTTGTTCTCATGTCTCCAATTAAATACATCTTAATTGTATATTTAGATAAACATTAATTAGATTTGACTAGGGCAAATTGAATTGCAGTTGTCTTGAAAGCAAATAATGACTAGAAAAATCTAAATTAGGGAAATCTGAAATTAAAATTTTGAATGATTCTTTTTAAGATATCTCCAAATGAATTAGTGATACCTTTAATTAGCTTTTCAATTTGAGTTAACATTGTGACTAGTCAGAATGACATTACTGCTATCCTGAATTTGTTTCTGTCGAATAAAAAACAGAAAAAAAGATTTTTGAAAATTCTTCATTTTCAGCTTTGGAATCGGTTTACCACAGCACTCCTACTTTTCTAAAGGTGCTTTTAAGAGCATTGCGTTTGTCGGAAGTGAATAAACAGGAATTGTTTTTGCAGATTTCTGAAGCAATATTCAAGTGCATGAAGTTTGTACTGTTTGGACGGCTCAGTGGCAGCACCAGGTCGACTTGCACCGCCTTGTGTAAATCTAAACATGTAATTAAATTTGAGATCTTAAATTATAGCCAGAAATGCGTGACCCACCAAATGACAAATCTGCTGATGTCATTTAAGATGTTAAAAGGAATTTTGACTTGTGATGATGTAAAAATAAATTTAATTATTATTTTTTTCTAGTCAGAATGAGAATGCAGATTTCTTAAATTACCGTCGGATGAATGTAATTCCTTACACTCAGACTCAACTGGTTTTATGTTAAAAAGGCTTGCCATAGGGAGGGATGGGTTCCGTAGAAAGCTGCAGGTTGTGACGTCACAACTGGGACATGACTGGGCAGATTGGTGTTTCAGGAATGTCTCTAGTACGTCCCGTTCACGCTGCTTTTTCCCTGAATCCTGACTGCTTCACAAACATTTCCTCAGGTGTTGCACAGTTCTGCCTGTAACCCACCAGAACCTCCAAATGTTCTGCCTGTAACTCACCAGAACCTCCAAATGTTCTGATTTAACCCACCAGAACCTCCAAATGTTCAGTTTATTTCAGTCACTATAGATTAATTCCACACAAACTGGTATTTCTATGGAGGGTAAAGAGTGCCAAATTACAGTAACAAGAAATAATTATTTGATAAATAATTTAATAAATAAAATTGATTAAATATCAGTTAATATTCAATTAAATGTTGATTTCATATTAAAAATTACATTTTGTTTTTCATGAGCAAGGAGTTGCTCACCTACAGTTTGCTGTAAATAACAATTTATCAAAGCTTTTTCCACACTTTCCAGGGAAAGTGGAAGAAGTTGTCTTGACTTGCTGTTTGAAGCAGCCAGTCAGGTGTCAGGGTTTCTACAGAAGCAGCCAATCAGATGTCAGGTTGATTAATGTTGTTTATCAACTAATGATTAACTGATAAGCAGCCATTTTCTTAAGAGTTTTCTTTTGTGTGAAAATGGACAACTGTCTTTCCATAATCTGTAGGGGAAAATGTTTAATAATATACTGGATTAAAAAAAAAAGTGAAATTTAAGGATCTTGAGAGTTTATATTTCTAAACAGAACCACATAAAGTGCATTCTCCATTCTGAACCGGACTCTGTTTGGCACATTTCTCTTCCCCGTTCTGGTGGGCCTCCGCCATCTTTATTTCTGTTTTAACAAATTAACCAGCAGCACCCTCTGATGCATGGAGGCCGAAACTACAACAATAAGAGGTTTATTTCTCAAACTTTCTCAGAAACGTAAATGATTATTTTATATAAAGAGTTAGAGATGCAGTCAGTCAGTGAAGGCGTAGCAGTGCAGCCCCAGATCTGTGTGCCGGTGCCACGCTACATATCACAATACTGTTTTAAAAACAGTAAAAGTTCTGCAACTCACCCCGAGAAACTGAAAAAAATCCCTATAGATATGAAATCCTCTGATCATATAAACAATGTTTCACATGTTTCGTTTCTAACTGGTGGTATCTTCCGCTTTTCTTTTAAACGACCCAATCT